GGGGGGGGGAGGTTTTATTCAAAATAAAAAGAGAAACTTCCGGCATCGTTAATGGGAGATTTTAATGAACCTTTGAGGGGACCCTTTTAATTCCACGAATGAAATAATTTTTTACTTATTTATTTTTTGTAATGGAAATAAATTTGCTCAATGTATCTGTATGGAGAAGGCATCCATAAATATTCATACTTACCTAAGTTTATTTATTTTTTTTTAAAAAAAAATATATACATTTACACCGAAACTACGCAAATTTCTGCAGTGAAATCGGAGACAAAACTGCTGACTATAGCCTCAAATTGCTTCTAGAGAGCATCAAATTTTCAAAATTTTCCGGGGAAGGCCCCCCGGACCCCCCGTCGGGGGAGGGGGCCCCCCCTGGAAATTCGCGGCTGTTTAAGGGGGGGTGAAAAATGATGAAATAGGGGGGGAACTCGTCAAGTACCTAGGGGGGGAGTGACACCACTGCCAGTAGTAGTAAAGAGGAGCTCTAGGAAAGTATATAAAATTAGACAATAAAATTAATACGCTGGCGGAGGTTTCAAAAACCCCGATTTAGAGGACAGCACCCTTAATTGGATTGCATTTTGCAAAAAGGAACCACTAGCATTGCAGTGTTGCTAAGATTGTGCAACTTCTTTTGTCTTGGAGGAAAAACCCGATTATCCATTAATAGTTTCTATTTTACTCGCTAAAAACTGTAAATTTAAGACAAAAATTACCATCTAAATTTCATAGTTTTTCACGATTTCCGCAATTTTATTGCAAAAGATGAAGTTGCACAATCTTAGCATCATTGCAATGCTTAGTGCGGTTCTTTTTTGCAAAATGCAATCCAATTTTTACCACACCATTGCGTTCAGTTTGGGGGAGGGGTGTTTAATTAGAATACCGTTGACAATTTTTAAGCACGGCTCAGCTGAGCCGCTACCCCCTCCGGCCCTCCCTCCTGCACTGCCGTGCTAAGGAAAAACACCGTATGAACCTTCAGGCGTTGCCAAATTTCCTTTGATAAAACGTGAATTTCCTAGTAAACTTATGAATATTTTTCTTCTACTCTTTTAGATAATTTTGTTCACAATTTCAGCTAAGGTTACTGAAAATTTCAAGGAAAAATATTCATAACATTCCTTAAAAATGAACATTTTATATAAGGAAATTTGGCAACTTTCAAATGTTCATACGGCGCTCTTCCTTAGCACGGCAATGCAATATCCGTCTCCCACGTCTTCCTTCATTTCAAGTAGATTTCTGTACACGGCACGTGACCTTCAGAATCAGCGCTTAATATACACTGTAACAGATTCTGACGACAGAAAACTGTACAAGTCGATCAGTTATGGCTAGATATTGAAAATGCGAATAAAAATACTGACTGCACACAACTAAAACGGGCGCGTAAACTTTTCCTTTGAGGCGAACATCATATTTTCGATAAGAATTTGTTTCTCCTTTTTACTCTCTGTACATGCCTTTTTTACTTCCAGTGCTTTTCCTCTCTCATTGTTCTTTCTTTTGACGGACGAATTTGAGAAAAAGGTAAAAGCTGGTCTGAATTGTCGCAAGAGCTCGGATATGGCTTTTTGTTCAGCGAGCGCCGAAATCACCGATGGAGCGCCTTCAATTCCAAGAGATACAATACTGTGTAATTAAATGCAACCATTGCCGGACGGCACGGCGCGGCGCGGCAAGGAGATACCTGTCTCAACGTATGAAAAAATTATCACACCGTAGACAGTTTCTTTTTGTAAAATATGTTATTGAAAGATTAATATTACAAGATTTATAATTTTAAATAACTGAATACATTCATCTATTTTACAGTTGCGGCCACATTATTAATTTATAACAGCTGAACACATGTTCTGATAGATACTTATTGCTCACAGGTTGGAAAAGTATAAGTGTTCAATTTGTTTCATCATTTTGTTACCTAATCTTAATTTTCCATCCTTCTCTCTTATAGGTTGTAAAACTTTCAAAATCAACTTAAAACGGTAAATAAGTTAAACATTTAGTCTTTTTTTTCATTGCTCATTCGCGCATGAGATTCGAGCATTTTTCATCTTTTCACTTATTTTATTTTTGACATAAATAAAAAATATTAATTCAGAGAGAGATGAGAACTACGTTAATTTTTGAAATCTATAAGCGTTATGATGTCATTTTTAGGAAAAAAAGCAAAGGAAATAGGAAAAACAAACATGATATCAGAAGTTGAAGCATTTATTCCAAAATAAAACGAGAAAGTAAAAATATTGCAATAATGATATGATTTATGTCAACAACTTAAAAGAGAAAAATGATGAAAAGTGGAAGTTCATTAATTATTCCGAATATAAAATATTTTAGGTCATTGATGAATAAAAGGGGGCTTATTAAATTATTAAAGAAGAAATGTTAATAATTCCATGAAACCTTCCAGAAATCTGAGAAGACTCAAATCAATTGAATGCTAAATCGTCTGTTTGCTAGCATTTTAGAGGAGCTGTGTCTTGCATACTTAGTTCTTTTAGAATACAGCTTTATTGTCACTTTACAATGAATTGTTATTAATTACTAAACTTTCTGCGGTTATTCTATGACTTTTCAATGAGTATTTATTTAAATTTACTGCCTTGCCTTCAAGTTTTTTTTTCTTCTTTTTTTTCTTTTTATTAGAAAACAACAATCAAACTAAACTTTTGAAATTAGGCAATGACATTTTTTTACTTACATTTGGCTCTACAACTTTTCAATAAATTTTAATTGAGCATATTATTAAGTCTGTACTCTTAGCATTTTTTTTTTTTTTTTAAAAAAAACCAAAAATAATGCAAATATGTCAGTTTACAATAATTGTCATCTTGTGTTTGAAGTCCTGTGACATCATAGTACAAATTTCTTACATGACTATTCAAACAGACAAACTAGATTGAAAATAGAGAGAGAAAATTCCTGGGGGCAAAATAAAAGAAAGGAAACTATAGTACTTTAAAATGCAGTGCGAACATACACTTAGTTGATTTTTCTCCTAACGATATTTTCAACTATGTCACTTAAGTCTGAAATATCATCCGCCTCACACTCAAAATCAGAGGCTGTAATACTATCATTAATTGCACATTTTTGATGAAATTTTGAAACCCATGTTTTTTTCCCTGAGGTAAGGGTTGGGACTTCAGAACCTAACTCTGACTTACTAGACTTAGAAATAGGGGTGCTGGATTTCATTACCATAGATTGATCATTATTATTTTCTTGTAAAATTAGGTACTGCTGATCACTTTCCTCATTAGCTTCAGGATTTAGAAAACGCATTGGACTCACAACCATGGGTGAATAATTATTATAAACTAAGCAATCACTTTTAACATCAGCCTGAAAACTGAGACTCTTATCGTGCTGAAAGTCACAAGAAAGCATAGATACATCATTCACTTGTTGTGAAAGTTCAATATTTTTGAAACCTCTGCTCTCCCTTTCTCCTGACGAAGAAATCTCATTTTCAAAATCTACTTTATTAGTAAGCAAATCTACATTTTCTAAACTCTTTAACTCATTTGGGTTTTCAGAAACCACATTATCTGCAGGCTCAAATTTTTCTTCTTTACACTCATCTCCATCAACTTCCTGACTCTCAAAGTAATAAACTGAGTCGATATTTTGGTGATCAAAATTACAAGACACCATTGACACATTGTTTGATACTTGAGACTGATCTGATTCTTTAACTATTGAAAGATTGAGTTTCCTGAAAAATGCTGATTCATCGAGCACTGTATTATCAGCGGTAATATGAGGATTTATTTGTAAATCGGATGCACTGTGAGATAATTTTGAGATGGAGAAATTCCTTTGGGCAACGTCCTCCGAATGTTTCACATTGCAACTACTATTGCATGGGGGTGAATAACCATTTCCTCCTGGACTAGTGGCATTCTCATTATTCTCATAATAGTAGGTATCAGCATAATCACAATAATTCTCCTCTTCAAATGTATCACTCACAATACTTTGGTTTAAGGTTGGTTTTTCATTTACATCATTGGATGTGATTCCTTCTGAATCATCGACCAGAGAGAGGTTGTTCAATTTGACCAGAAATTTATCCAAAGTTTGAATTCCTTTCCCAACAGTAGTTTTCTTCGCATTTTTTTCCTTTGTCTTCTTGGCTTGGCTGTTTCCAACAGAATTGTTTTGATTTGATACGTCTTTCAAAACTTTATCTTTTTTGGCTTGCTGTTTTTTCTTTGATCCTGAAAAAAGAATTATGCCATTCAAGTTAACACCGATTGAAAAATGAGCAGTGCATTCACTTTTTCATTAATACATCATTATTATGGAACACTTAGCCAGTTAGCAGCATATCGATGGTGAAACTGCAGAAATGCGTATCTCGGTTTGCTGTGTTGCAGCTTTTCTTTCATACTTCATTTTCTACTTGGATAACAATTATCCTTCATTTCTTGAAAACGCTTGTGATTTTTCTTCTCTGTGTGAAGAATGTTCTGTGAAAGTTCCACGCCATGATGTGGGTTTGATCTACGTTTAAAATATAAAATAGCACCGGAGAGTGCGGAACACTTCAACCAAGATATGCATTTGTGAGATTTCACTGTAAATATAGGCTGACAAAGTAGACCGTGTAATTGCAGTGTAGGAAGCAGGCTTGGTAACTTCTTAAAATTAAAAACATTATAAAGGACAAAAAAATTTGTCACATTCTCTGAATCCTCACCTTTGCAGTTCAATTCTTCATATTGCTCTACTGCTTCTCTGAACATTTTATGGACCAATTCCTCTGGTTCAATTGTAGTTACTGTAAAGGATTTCCATGAAATTTCGTAACTGGCGATTCCGCGGGGTTTCCTTTTTTTAATAATTTTTTCTAGTTCCACAACTGGCTTTTCGGGGTTACCATGCAACAATTGCCATCTTGTCAATACAGGAAGAAATTTTTCAATAGCATAGTCATCCTCCCACTTTAATTTTCTTCCAGCAATACTCTAGAAAATCAACAATAAAATGACAAAATTATACATCAACTCAAAAAAAGAGATTGACATAAATTCTTCAGAATGGCTACATACATAATATCCTTAAATCAGTCTGGTGGAGAAATTGCCAGGTCTGGGGATTTCAATATTTATGACTGATTCCTGTAAAAGTTTTCTAGAAAATAAAATTACACTGGTAGCCATTGAAAATTACATACTGACTAGTAAGTCTCGAAAAAGCAATTTTAAGTTCTAGGCTTCCTGACTAGTTGAGAGTAATGAAGTAAGATGCGCAAAGAGTGTTATCATTGCTTTAATATAAAGTTAACCTCATGCAGCTAATTTTATGAGTTTGTGTTGCAATAAATACATTTTTCTAACCAACACATGGAAATTAACGACTAACAAAGATTCTGATAATAACGGACGCAAAATTCAAAATATGAGGAGGGTTTCAAGGTTTCAAGTGTTAGGAAAATAATTGCTGCACTTACCAAAAATTTGGCTAAACTTGGACGTTCCCAGCTGAATTTTTGAGATTTCAAGTTTTCGTTTTCCTTTAGAAATTCAGCAATGATGTCCGCTGATGGAAAGGATGGGTCTTCCAAGGCTTTTTGTCTAATTTTCACTTCTAGTTTTAATAACCTGCAAAATACGATCATGAGTTGACTTTCAGTGAAAAAGTAACTAATTTTTGTGGACTAAAATTAGAAAATAATTCCTGAAATCCATGTAATAAGAAGCTAAAAGATAAAAATTTCAGATCAATTTTTTGGTTTTGCATTTTCGAATTCCTTGTAGAAAGTACACTTGTGTTTGTCAGGAAAAAATGGCAGAAGTTTTTTGCAATGTACAGAAGAGAAAAATTGGATGAAAAGAGGCTCGGAAAAAGTTACCAAACTTTTGAGCATTTCTTAATTATTTATTTTAGTTTCGTCTTGCTCATTTTTGTTTCATGTCTTTCATAAAAATTTCCATCACATGATTACAGTAGCCACTCAAATTTCATGTCCGTGGATGCATTGATTAAATAGGTGCATAGCCTTTTTAAGTGCATCTTTTTCTCTACTGCTATGGCTGCAGCTCACTCAGACCACATGCCGGGCACCTTACCTTGAGGTTTTCCATATCATTGAGTTGAAATGATAGACAGGGTCTTAACTAACTGCCTAAAATTATTTTTAAAAGAACTTAAACTGAACTTACGGGTCACTGGAGAGGAGCTTTTTGTCTTTCTCCACAGCATCAAGGTACTTGTTTGTTCGCCATTTCTTTAGTCTGCAGGGATAAAAGTTGGAGTTGACCGAGAAAACAAGACAATTTGAAGCAATTTCACTCACTACTTTGATTTAGGCTTCTCAGCAGAGCTAAAGTATACAGAAGACCTCTGCTTGAAGAAGCAAACAACAACCAAGTCAGATACTTCCTCACAATGAGGAGAGATCAGACAACCAGCGAATTACTTTATTATTGAACTCTTTATATTCCATATCAGGAGAGAATCATGTACCTTTGTATTAAATTAAATTTTCAGAGTTAAGAAATAATATTTTGAATTGAACATTTGGTTTCGATAATATAAGTACCTATTCCACTGTGTACTTTGTATCCAACTAAAACTTATTCGATCCGGTTGGCTTTTCTAGAATTTATGGTGTTGCTAATCCGGCATCAGCGTAGGGTAGTTCTTTGCTAAGTAATTTTATGATAAATTTAAGATAAGCCATATCACAATTGTTTAACAGTCAGTGATTATTGACTTCTTGAGATAAAGAGGGTGAGTTTTTTTAATGTAAAAGAGGCTGAAATGTATTGGATGATCATTGCAGATCATTGATTTGAAAATTTTGCATGAAGTTTCAGTCCAAACAGGTAAAGGATTTGGGAATACCAAGTAACCATCAATTGGGTAGATTAAAAGTGCATAAGATAAAAAAAGAATGAAGTGGATCAACTATGATAAAAGAAAAAAAAAGAAAACTTGCATACCTTGGCAGAATTTCTTCTTCTGTAAGATTTTCTAGAAATTTCAGTGCTGACTCCTTGCCAATACCCTGAACACCTTTGCCCTGGTAATCACAGCCAAGCAATAAAGAGAGAGCGATCATTTTATTTCGGCCAATGTTCAGTTTTTCTTCGATGATGCTCATCTGATAGACATCAACACTTGCGCCTGCATTGCTGCTCAGATTGAAGTTGCGGTACACAGTGCGAGCACCATACAAGAAACAATCACTATCCTCAGAAATTACTCCGCTGGCAATCTATGACAAAAAAGAGGTTTGCTGTAGCTTAAGTCACACACACTGATATGAAAATAGTGAAGATTTATAGGTAAAATTTGACAATAAGGATAGCAATATTTAGTACTTTAAATTTTGGCATAATTTTTAAAATTGGTAAACATAAAAAGCAAAAAATTGAAGCTTTGAAGTATGAACTTACATTTTACACTTGAAATATTGACATGGAAACACTTGAATTAAAAGACACTGACTCGAAAAATATGTCAGGTTAACTGATTTGAAATGGGAAAAAATGAAGAGATTAAAGAACACTTATTAAAAAACTAAATTATTACCTTGACTCGATTCAACTGGGCACAAAGAGCCTCTGCTTCTCCAGAGCTTCTGACGAATGGTACACCCATGCAAGTGAAGAGTTCAGCGCACTGAAAAATTTTCATTATATGAGTTAGAATTCTCATAATCAGGTCCCATTGAAAACTGATAAAATATGCCAGCTAGAAATATCATCTACATCTTATCCTCAAGAAGAATGGAAAAAATATTTATTCAAATTCTGATAAGAGATTTGGCACCTGGCATGAATAACAGTCCATGTAATTGCGACTGTTAGAATCAAGAACTAAAAAACTGAGACTGCAAAATAACAAAGAGGACGGAAATCTTCTTTACTTTTAATATTTTAAATCCAATGTCAGATGCAAGCAGATGTGAGGGAATATTTTTCGAAATTTCTCCCCTGATTTAGTCTGTGAGGAAGCAATAAAAAGATCAGTTCAATGTTGTAGATTGTAATTCTCAGTGCAGTGTTTGGACATACTCTTTAACATTACTCTCATTCTGTTATGAAAAGGGTATGTGAAACTGAGAGCAACTGCAGGAAACGAAACGAATCTGAAAAGAAAACGTGAAATTTTTTATCTACCCACCTGCGTTTGGATTCCTTTTAACCTGCTACGATTCCCTTTTTTGGAATCACCGGGTGGGTTATTTCCAGAAGGAGCATTGTAGTTTTGAGAGCCCTTCAACCTTGCATTTTTCCTTTGTTCAATTGTGTCATGTTTCAATTCTGGTGCATTGCCTTCAAGGATAAATATGGGCAAGATTCCATGTAGTAGAAGATAAGAAATACGGAAAAACAGATTTCTAAAATGAAAAAAAGAAATCATGATTAGTTGAATAACCGTTAAGTACCTGCTATCAGACAAGCAAATGTGCTGCACTTCTTTCCAGTACCCTCACGCATCCAGCCTTTGTGGATATAGTATCTTTCTGAAGAGAATTTAGTAAAGATTATAAAGTGTCTTAATCAAATATTATCCTTTAAATAGTGCTCAATGGTAGGAAGATTACAAATAGCATTTTCAAGGAGAGATAAGTCTGGAACTCCACTGCACCTGAGCCTTTCAAGGAATGATATAATGCATCATGTCTTTAATGGACATTTTTAAACACAATGCCTTCCGTATAAAATGACATCTTCAAGCGGCTTCCTACAAACAAAATTTGCAGTGACCTGTCCATTTGGCTGCAGAAAAACGAGCAGCTGCCTTTTTCGGTAATTTTAAATGTTTAGGTATGTCTCGCATAAATGTAAGGTACCCTTACCACTGTTAACAATAAATAGCCATTACCAGTTAATTGATTTACCAAAGCTTTCAAAGCAGTTGCTGGTGCTCATTTTAATAAATACTGACTTGGATTAACTTTGGATGAAACTAAGATTCATACAGCATTCGACAGTCAGTCAAAACTTCCGATTACGAGCCCTTATGCAAAGCCCTGTTTGCAAAAATCATTTCAAAATACCTACTTACTTTGATGGAGAAAATAATGTGTAAAAATACAGTGTAGTTTAAAGGTACTAACCTCAGATACATGTTCGGTTGAGCACGGTTGTCCGTCACATTTTGACTGTCACAAATCCAGCAGCTTAGATCAATAGCGATACACTTATCTTGGAATTCCCAGAGGGATTTCCTCTCACAGATAGGAGATATAATCGTCCACAAATCTTTGACTCCCATTATATATAATTTGTTCAAATAATTGATTAAAATACTACGTACTTAACTGAAAGAGTGATCAGCAGTAGCAAAAACAGAAACCTACATTATGCGAGGGCTCTGTTAAAAAACAAAATTACAATTTCAAATCACTGGAAAAATCTATGGTCTAATGGAAGGCCTTTCAATTAATGGGTAAATTTCAAGAGTTTACGATCATATCATGGGTTTGAACACAGAACTCGTGATGTGATTGTGATAACTGATAACGAACGCGAACGACTATAACGAATTTCTGATAGTAAACAAACAAATTGACGGTTCTAGGAGCGGAACTTCGCCGGAGGATTGAAACAAGGAACGTAACGAAAGATGGACTGAAGTCCACAGCTTTTGACACTTTTGACCGTTTATGCTCCGTAGCTCCGTTGGTTCCATTTGACTCCAAGAAACGCGTAGGTGTCACCGACAACGGTTGTCGCGGGTGACGGATCAAATATACGTATTTCCATTTTCGGCGATTTTGAGTTAGGTGATAGGTCCATAAATGCATACCGAAAAAGTCGGACAGTTGCTTGAAAACGAAGAAAAATGTTATCCCCGAACCGCGTCCTCGGCGCCTTTTTTTTGCGAGTGCTTGTTTTCGATGATTTTTTGGGAAAGCCCTGTTAACACTACTGTAGCAAAAGTTCACGGAACTTTGCGCGAAAGTTAAGTTTCGTAAACCCATCTCTGTGTGGATAAGGCCTTCTGTTCATAGGAAATGAACGAAAAAATTATGAAATAACAAACATAAATGTGAATTAATGATTTTATCTTCCGCCGCCGCGCCTCGCATTCGCAGACAGCATTGTGTTTGACGCAATGCGTGAAGTATTCACGCAGTCTTGTAGGCGCTATACGTTTCACGCCGTCCGCAATGACCGATTGACCGCACTCCTGTTTGATGCAATGCTTGAAGTATTCGTGCAATCTTGTAGGCGCTGATATGTGTTACAAGCCGATCGCCGCGTCGAGGGCTTCTCCTTTTCATCTCAAGTCCTCGTCATCATTTCTCTTTAAGTCGCGCGCCGTTCCAGGTCAAATTGCGTGTTCCGTTTCTCTCTTAACTCGACTAATTAAAGGTGCTGTCTCTAGTATCACTGAAAGACGACAAAATTAGAAATTACTGTACTCTCAGGAAATGAGAGATTTTGACGCCTTTTCACGTTTGTAATTTTTTTTTCTAAATCCGATTTTTTTTATACCTACATTTAAAAAAATTGCAAAATTTGCCGCCCCCCATAGATTTACCGTTATGAGCCGTGGCCCATGTGGCCACCCCGTTAATCCGGCCCTGCATTCGGCTCCCACTCCCACATTTAGCGTGTGATTGCGGCAACACCTTCCATTTCAAGTTTTCACTTCCCACTACCGGTCTTTCCTCTCCACTTCCGGTTTTCAACTTTCCACTTCAGGTTTTCATTCTTATTTCCGGTAGTCTATCCCATTTCCGGATTGCCTCTTAAACAGGCCATGTGGATTATTTACATGTTACAATAAACTTCGGACTATCCGAAGTAATGTGGCGGTCGGCCAGCTCGGATAAGCCGGAGTCAGTTACTGCTTTTTGTATAATAAATGGAAAGTCAATGAGATGAATGCACATTTTTTAATTAATCCATACAGGAGTATACAAAATTAGTACCCAAATATTTAGTTTACTTACACGAAAGTTTGTTTGTCACTTATTTGAAATAATCCGCGACTTCCTTCTGCGCACAGACAGGTACAATGGTACATATTGGGTACAATGAAGACCGAACGGGTCATCTGAGATGCGTTATGTTCCTTTGTGACTGCCCAGTGAAATTGAGGAATGTTTCGAAAAATGAGTTCGGATATTCGGAACATGTATGCTTACTATACAGTAAGCACCATGCATATACCATACTATACAGTAAGCGAGGACAGTAATACTGTCCTCGTGCTATCCAAAATTCTCATATTTTACCTATCTCCTTCCCATGTAAATCCTCTGTCGACCTTCCTTCATGGATTCCTTATTTTCCCTGAAAAGCTCATTTTTTAAAAAAACAAATCCAAGTTTTACGGAGAGATGGTCGGAGAAAAAAAACCAAGATTATTTTTTATATCGGCGCTAAAAAGTACAAAGAGTATACAAGAGTGTCAACTATTGAGTACACTGCAAAGACCGCAGTGTTCCGGGGTTTTTTTCTCTTTTTTGCAGATAGCTATATATTATTTATATAATCGGTGAACTTTGAAAGCCCACTGTTCCTTAAATAGGCAAACAACTCAATGAACATAGGTGTTTCTTAATATTGTAAGGTCGTAACGATAAGACCATTCTGCTGGGGCCCTTAAATTTTTGAGGCCGAAAACCCTCCCCAATGAAACACATTTTGAATATTGTTCTTCCAAATTATCAGAGAAGTTTGTTCACAATTTCATCTAAATCATCTGAGACTGTCAAAGAAGAATATTCACAACGGTCCTTTAAAATGATAATTTTTCGAGAAACATTTGGGAGCATACATATACGACGTTTTTCATCATCATGACTGTGCGCGTCTAATAATTCCTCAAATGTAAGTAATAGCAGGACACATAGAAACACTCAGAATAAAGTCAATCGGTGGATACAAGTTAATTAACTTCGGTGCGCTGTTGGGTTGCGTCGTCAAATTTGAAGGCGAACTAGCGGCGATTTTGTCTCCGAGCAACAGGCCGCGCCGGAGAGGCCGGCCGTTACAACGGTTGCGCCTTGTGAATCGCAGTCAATTGTCTTCCTTACTTCGCCATGAAGAGGATTTGTAGTTTATGGATGAAAAGTGTGCTGCCTTGCTCAGAGGGAACGCTGAACGCTGTAACGTAAAAACGTAAAAGTTCGACTGAAACGATCTGAACAAGATTGCAAATTTTCGGCTATCCAAATTATAAATGCTCTGCTCTGGAACATCAAACAACAACTCCGCGATGGTGAAGTAAAGAAATTCTTAAATTTACTTTGAAATCTCTTCTTAACCAAAGCATTTTATGATTTAAACGAATTTCTGACTTCAGCTGTTCAATAACATTCTACCAACCACCATTTAATTTAACATTTTCAATTGTAATTTATATTTATAATTATTGTATCTTGTAATTCCTAGTGTTTTTTGACTCGTGCCATAGCTTCAATAATGGGGCTTTTATGTACGTAAATATAATAAAATAAATAAATAAATGTATCAGCCTTCGGCTGCGTTACCGAATTTCTATTGATAAAACACGGGATTTCTGGGAAAGTTTAAACCTAAATCTGTCCAGCTTTGCGTCAGCTTTAGAGACTCCTTGAAAGTTCCTCTTTTACCCCTCTAGTCCGCATAGTAAATAGAAAAGGCCTAAGGAAATGAGAAAAGTAGAACTTGAAACCTTTGTGTTTCTAGCCGTGATCTCCAGGGAGACTTTAACGCAAGGCTAGAAAAGTAGAGATCACATTCAAACTCTCATTCCTTTGAGATAATTCTGATTCATATGATTCGTTGATATGTATATTACTTGTAGAGACAATAAGTACCTACCTATTATTTACATTTTAGGAATTATCACTTAGTTGACTGTCGTCACGCTCAAGCATAGAAATGCTGAAGAAAAACGCCTTACGAACATTCTAATTTTGCGAAACGTCTCGTGATAAAGAATACTATTTTGTGGGAGACATGAATATTTTTCTTTGAATGCTTCAGTTGACATTAGAGTACCTATATAGCGAGAGTATGGACAGATCGCTTCATGGAGGGCTTAGGGCCCAAAAGTGCAGCCACCCTTCTAACCAACTGCTAACGCACAAAATTTCACTGCCAGTCTGCAGATTCCAATTCTAACCAAGATGGCCAAGAATGTACATAAATGAGCGTTCTTCCGCAAAAATGAGTAAATTTATGCAAAAACTATGTCAAATATGTGCTTTATAAACGATGGTTCGTAACAATTGTATTAGTAAAGCGCTCTGGATAATTGAAATTCATAGGTTAGCTGCATCTCTGGGCCCTAACTTTATTCGCGGAGACATCGGTGAAGGCCTGATGGATTTTCGGAGTTTCACATCTGTCTATACTCTCGCTGTACAGGTACTCTAGTTAACATATATCAAATTGGAACAAACTTTTCTGAAAAATTGTTCGAACATTTTAAAAAAATTATCAGAAAAATTGTTTTTATCAAATAAAATTTGGCAACAGACGTAAGTTCATACGGCGTTTTGTCTTAGCAAGGCGGCTCAGTTTTTAAGCATAGAAATTTAATGTCCGCCTAGGAAGTGTAGCTTTCATGCCACGAAGAACCAATAGTTCGAAGTTTCCGTATTACCTCTGCTGTTGGTTTAATCTTCTCTGCAGGTGTTTAAGTCTCCAATGCAGTTCAAAGTCATTTGAACTGTTTAAAAACCATTGGTATACTCTTCGCTTCCTTTTCTAGTCAGGCATTTAAGTCTCCAAAACCTTCATAGTTATTTAAACTGTTTGAATACCATTGGTATGCTCTTCGCTTACTTTTATAGCCGGGCGTTTAAGTCTCCAAAACATCCAAAGTTATATGAGCTGAATGCAAACAGCATTGCTATGCTCTTCGCTTACTTTTCTAGCCGGCGTTTAAGTCTCCAAAACATTCAAAGTTATTTGAACTGTCTGGAAACCATTGGTTTGCTCCTCCCTTATACTTTTTTCATTGCTCACTATAAACATCTCTGAAACTAAATATTGGCCCTTATTCTTCCAACTTCTCAGTTCATCAAGTCAACCTTAAGTCTGACTAGAAAAATTGTCAGACTCAGGTTTTACCAGACAGTCCTAGGTTTTCCTACATTCATGATCCCTCTTTCCCGGTCAAACCTAGGTCTGACCATTCACCCATTTATCAGACCTGGACTTGACCAAAAACCTACTTAGTTGAACTTATCTATGAATTACAAAAGGGCCGAAGTCAAACCTAAGTTCTGAAACGAAGCGATACACAAAAACTTCACACGCCATCGATTCCATACACGATGTGCAGAGCAAGCGTCAGTTTGATGGCATGGTCTCTTTCCCATGCCGCTTTTTCCTCATTCCTCTTTGTTTCGGTTCTGCGGGTTCCGATTGGATCTCACCCGTATCTGATTATTCATTTTTCTACAGGGTGATTGACAAAGCCACGCACTCTGAAGTTTCACGCAACGTTGGGCGCTTTTGATGAAAATTGATTTTTCTCCGGCTTCAGCGAGGGAGGATTAAGAGTTGCCTCTTTCATGTTACACCATGGGATGAAGGAGATTTGTGGTGTGCGTTAATGAGAGGCGTTGCGGCCGGCGTCGCGTCGTTTGGCCATGCACGGCTCCTTATTTGGAAAACTGGTTCCGCCGCGGTCGATCCGCGCGCGGGTCCGAGCGTTCCTCACAAGCGACAGCGACGGTGGCGCGGCCCAGCGGAACGAGAGTGATTTAAAACCGCAAGTGTCAAGTTGTGGCACCCGCAACGCACTACTTCACGGTGCAAGCTCTCTTGTGCCGACCAACTTGCCAGATTTATGGGAAAAGGAAAAATATGTGGCCATTCTTGGAAGCACATATTTCAGTAGCGTTTTTTGTCGAGATGAGTGAAATATTCCGAGTTTGAGATTTTGACAGAAAGTTCTCTTCTGTGCTCAAAGCAGATGTATAACATATTTCAGACACCCAAAGGCCGAAATAAGGGTGGTGCATTAGGAGCGGCTGCACCAGGCGCCATCACAGGGGCGTCTTTTTAGGAGAGGGGGTAGGTCGGGCATTTGCCCAACCCTGCGCTTTTGAGTCGGGCCGGAAAAAAATCTTGTCTGCCGCTTCCAAGGTGAGAGGCTGAGCAATAAACATAGGCGGTTCTAGACCCTCATGCTTGGGGGTGCCTAGAGGTGGAAAATGTCGGAAACCGGCTCCGAAGGGGATGGTCACTCAGGGGAGGCCCAAGTTTCGGCCCTCAAGTTTCACTAGGATCCATCACTAGGCGAAAAATAGCGTTGCTCTCGAAACTCAGCTTTTGCCTCGCCCAATTACTACATTGCTTGGATCGTTAGTATGCGAGATGTCAAAATATATTGTCTTAGGTACCAAAGAATAAATTGTAGGCAACTTAATTCATGGTTGTCCTAACAGAAGGAGGGAATTTGCACTGGAATCTGGTAATTTTGCATTTTAAACATACGGGGAAAAAGAATGTTAGTGGTTATTAAATTCGTACATTGATTGTTGTCTAGTATTCTACAATGACAAACGGCCGAAAAGGGACTATTCAAAATACATCGTTCAAAATAAAATTTGTCCAAATGGGCGATGCCGCAAATTCAAATCTGGATTTCTGAGACTTGGTCGGCTTGTGGCTTTTATTGGTGTTTTTTTCTTTTTTTCTTTTGTCCTGAACTTTAATCATACAAAGTTTCGGCAGAAAGTCTGGGCAGATTTTTGACAAAAATACTACGAAAAATGCTCAAACACTTTTCCGGCGCATGTGTAAAAAAAAAAAATTGCGCGCGCTTCAAAATTGACTTCACTGTGCGGCTAACACAGCTTAATGCGACCTCAGTACAATTCCTAATTATTTCATTCGAATTTCGCGTTGAATAGATACCGGAGTATATCCGCTTTGATTTTGGGTTCCCTCGATTTTTTTTAAAAAAAGAAGAAGAAACATGGCATATTATACACATAATTATTTTCAAACAATTAGTAGATTGGAGCAAACCTCTAATCAAGCACAAGTAGAAATGGTGTTGCCTATATTGCCGATTGAAGGAGATTTATGGATGGTGTTTTTTTGGGCTTACGTGCGTTTGGGAAGACCGTTTGGGAAGACAAGCAAGCAGCACTTACCACTATTTTGAATTTTATTGTTCTTGTGCTCGCACAGTATTTTCATGGTTTTTCCCTCCACAAATTTACCAATTATATTCCGAAATCGATCGCATAGAGAAAATATAGTTTCTGACAAAGGTGCAATTTTTATAATCTGCTAGATTTACTTTTACTCTAGACTTATTTTCTCATTAGCAACTCCATAATTTGGCCTCAGTAGGCTAGTATATTTTTTCCGCCATTACATTTGCTTTTTCGAGGAAAATCAACATAATTTTCGAAAGTCCGACAGAGACACCAGAGAGGAAAAAGATCTTAATATTTTTTATTTTTATTCGCCTCGCATAAACAATTCGAACATCCATTTTTTCCACATGAATATTGCAATAAAAATGTTTTTCTCTCTTATAAAAGTCTATCTCTGAACGCATCATCTTACGCATCAGTTTTTGCATACCAGTTTTGAAAGAGGTTACGTGAAGTTCAGTCTTGCCGTTAGCTGCAATTCATGCCTCATCTTCAGTTCCATTATTTCACGGAGAACATTTGAATCGAGTCTTAACACGAACCTGATTACTAATCCCCATGAACTTAAAAAAAAACTAATGTATGTATCAGATCATTCCATATCAATACATGAATGAAAACTGTGATTACGATGAAGTAATATTAATCCGCTTTGTCGTAGGGTGATTTATCAACTTCTCCAATAATAAAATAGTGATCATCGAAGAGGGTCATGCTGTTGCTGAAACTGCTAAAATGTATCAAGTTTTATCTCGATTAGGTTATAAACTGAGCGGAAAGAGAAAACTCTGAGACCCAAAACACTCGATAATATTATCAGTTTGTTCACGGGGTTAATTATCAATCAAACGCGTTGGAGAGAAAGTGGCTCAAATATGAAACAAATTAATGAGGAAAAATTCGGAGATAAGTTTAACGAAAATAAAGTCACCAATGAGAAAAGGTCACGATGGGATGTGGACTTGTCATTGCGCATCAAGTTCAGACGGCAGGGCATATCGGCGCAAAAAGATGCTGGAAATCAAGTGTTGCCGAGACGGACAAGGAAAACTAATAACAGCTATTAATTTACAAACTAATGAAAAAATCGGAAGAAATTAACTCAAATTTAATGACAGTGTATAGAGTAATAGCCTTGGTTCATAATATTAAAACACATTGCATTTTTATGTAAACCGAAAAATTTATTCAATTTAGTCTTATTATCCTTCAATTACCCGTGCACTAATATTACACTAATTTCCGATTTACATTTTTATTGATAATAAATTGAACGACCCGCCCTTATTTTCAATGTGCAATTGTTTTGATTCGTGTGTAAAGAGATAAAGTATTGAGTTATGACCATAGGAGCCGCATATGAATTACCTAATGCTACACGGAATAGATGGACGTCTTTAAAGACGTTACGCACATATGAACAAAATAATATTCTTAAAAAACCGTGATTTGACGTGAAACCGAAAAAATCTTGACTCTCAATTGATAGGAAGTCTGGACAACTGAGGTCACGTGACAAAATAATTTAATCGAAAGCTTTTGACTAAATCGAAAACTCAAAAAGTCATTGGGCCTAGTATCAAAGGAGGAGTAGACAAAAGTACTGAATTCGTTGGTTTTTATAGTATTTTCTACAATTTTCCCTAGTTGACTGAGAGACTTAAACGCACCGTAGAAAAAGAAGACAGGAACTGCACACGTGCGTCAGAAAAAGTCGTTTAAGAAAAGCCTGCATGATACTCAATGGATGAAAAAACATAACAGAGGTTTTCTTACGCACAAATCATTTGTACTGGGGGCATATTCACGTAGAAAATAACTTAAAACAATGGCCATACTGATCAGAGCAATTACATAACTTGTGTGCATGTATACTACAAGAGTAAACATAGGATATATGACTCGAATTTCTATTCAAACAACCTGCTCTTCTCTTCTAATTATTTTACTCTCTTTTGACCGCTCCTCTACAACCACTGACGGCATTCGTGTGTGTCAACAAATCGACTATCTCCTCCCATTTTCTTTCCTCCCACCTTTGGGGGCGGCTCCTTTCCCCCCTCCCTATTTTCCATAGCGGTCATGGTCACTTTTAATTACGATGCAGAAATCATGCACAGAATAAGTGCATTCTTTGTGTCTACGATTGTTATGTTAATAATTTTAGTAGATTAAGTTGAAGATTCTGCGTGTTTACTAAAAATAATGAGGCGGCGAGTCTGGTGCAACATAAGCATTTTCTATAAATAGGAGCATGCATGGAATTTCTCCCTTTGCCAGTATCGGTATTCGGCACTCATCATAAAAATTGAGAAATAATAAACTTTTATTAACCAATAGAATTTACCCTGGGATATATCATAAGATACTTTTTGAAATGTTTCGATGGAAATCCCTCCAAAAACCGCAGATGGGTTGACCATGGACAATCGGGACCTTATACCGCACAGTCGCGGGGCTTGGAGGACAAGGCGCATATAGGTGCAGTTTTTGAAAAAAAAAATTGAGATATTAATGATTTCAAGTAAAACTACTCTTAGCGCATATTCTGTGAAGAATTTCGCTCCCAAATTCCAATTTCAAAGCATCAAAAAGTCTGTTTGAACTTTCTTTTCGAATTTCAAAACATCGAACGTACGTATTTCTCGAAACAGCATTGACTGCACTTATGCGCCTCGTCCTCCAAGCCTCTCGGTTCCTCTTACGTCTTCTTTCACTTGTGCTTCAAAAAAAAAAAAAAAAAAAAAAAAAAAAAAAAAACCAGTCGCTCGATTTTAAATTGTATTGATAAACGAGCTATGTACAGTGTCTTTTGAGACGTCTTTGAGAGAGAGGAAGCGCCAGATGTTAGCCACCCAGATTAAAATTAACGGTTTTACATTTAATTGTATATATTTAATTGTATTATATATTAATTGAATTTTGTATGCGATTCTTGTTAATGTGAAATGTAATGGCACGACTAAATGTCACTCTATTGTCACTTAATATCTTGTAAACATTTTTTCTTTTAAATAAATAAAAATTAGATGAAAAAATTTTGGGTCGAATCCGCAACAAAACCCACAGAACCGAGTCCAATCAGGATAAACTTGGCAACAGCGTGCGCAAAATGCATATATAAATATAAAAGCGCTCGAATTACCAGTTCATGACTCGGGATAGGAGGAGAGTCCACAATAAGAGAGGTGGACGTGGAGCAAGTTACAGAAAATATATGTGAGGGCGTGCAAGAGAGAGATAGAGGAGCGGATCGTCCGGGGTGGAGAGAGACAAAAAGAAAGATGCTGGAAACGAGACGGGACCCTTGAGATGAAGGGAGGGGCAGAGGTGTCGGACAATAAGATGACTATTGCACTTCTGAGGTAGTTTAGTTTTAAGAGCCCAACAGCACAATTCACATTCACGGCGCTGCGAGGTAAAACCAGTTCTGTGCGCGGAGTTAATCTACATGTAATGTGCTTCTTTACGTGCTTTCTAGTGTGAATACGGTCGTTCCTTCACGCGTTTCCGCATGCCCGAAAAAGTGAGCGCTTCCTAAGTTCCGCCTCGTTTCGGTGATCATTTTTTTTTTGTTCGTTTGTCGCAGGCTCGATTTCGCGGATTCTTTTCGACTAAATTTTGAGTGCGGTGATTGTTTATTTGTTATGTAAATACATTCATCGGATGACATTTAAGTTGTGAGTACACCCGTTTTTAATTAATTTTTGCGTATTTAAAGATTTAAATCATTTAAAAAAATGTGGGTACACTGGAAAAAAACACATTGGATCTAGAGTCCAGACTCTTGAAAACATTGACAATAAAAAATACTCTTGATTCAATCGGATTTTTGCTTGAATCAAAACGAAATCCGCTTAAATTAAGAGGCTTGGTTCTTGATTTAAGCTAGATTCTGATTGAATCAAGAGCACTTTTTCTTGTCGATGTTTTTAAGAGTCTGGACTCTAGATCCAATGTGTATTTTTTTTTTCCAGTGTATTTTAATTTTTTCAGTTTTCAATTTGGCAGTGCTATCCCAATCGGAAATTTGACCTTGGTACAAGCTTAGTATGACATTTTTTCACATTTGAATAGAGTTGCCAAGCTTATCTTGCTAATGTTCCCACAATGTTAGCAGGACATTTATTTTACCTCTGGGACAAGCTTGAGCCCAAAGATTGTGCCAAGGTTAGGTTTGTAAGACTGCTCCAAGCCTATCCTGACAATATTGCCACAATATTGGTGGGACATTATTTTACTTCCGAGACAAACTTGGATATTCAATATTGTGACAACGTTATGTTAATAATATTGCTGCAAGCTTGTTCAGCGGATGTTGTGATCATGATGTTGCAATAGACTTGATGTTAAAATATTGCCATAGTATTGGCAGGATATTTATTTTACCTCTGAGACAAGCTTAGATTTCCAATCTTTCCTCTGAGGCAAGGTAGGCGATAGAACGCCGTATTACCTGCGGTCCTCGCGGAAGAAATTTCATAGCGTCGCAATGCCTAATGTAGGCATACGGAACATTGGAGTGCCGAGGAACCTTCCTAGGAAAGTTACTTTCTTGGCTGCTTGCACTGGCTGAAGTATTCAACTTGGAACCCATCTGTAACGGGCACTGCCCAGGCGAAACGAGAACCAGCCCCATTGACGGGGCGGCCGCGCGCGGACCGTTGCCAAAAAGCTCNAGAGCCCAACAGCACAATTCACATTCACGGCGCTGCGAGGTAAAACCAGTTCTGTGCGCGGAGTTAATCTACATGTAATGTGCTTCTTTACGTGCTTTCTAGTGTGAATACGGTCGTTCCTTCACGCGTTTCCGCATGCCCGAAAAAGTGAGCGCTTCCTAAGTTCCGCCTCCTTTTGGTGGTCATTTTTTTCTGTTTGTCGCAGGGTCTTCGGATTCTTTTCGACTAAATTTTGGGTGCGGTGATTGTTTATTTGTTACGTGGATATATTCATCGGATGACATTTAAGTTGTGAGTACACCCGTTTTTCATTAATTTTTGCGTATTTAAAGTTTTAAATCATTTAAAAAAATGTAGGTACACTGGAAAAAAAAAACACATTGAATCTAGAGTCCAGACTCTTGAAAACATTGACAATAAAAAATACTCTTGATTCAATCGGATTTTTGCTTGAATCAAAACGAAATCCGCTTAAATTAAGAGGCTTGGTTCTTGATTTAAGCTAGATTCTGATTGAATCAAGAGCACTTTTTCTTGTCGATGTTTTTAAGAGTCTGGACTCTAGATCCAATGTGTATTTTTTTTTTCCAGTGTATTTTAATTTTTTCAGTTTTCAATTTGGCAGTGCTATCCCAATCGGAAATTTGACCTTGGTACAAGCTTAGTATGACATTTTTTCACATTTGAATAGAGTTGCCAAGCTTATCTTGCTAATGTTCCCACAATGTTAGCAGGACATTTATTTTACCTCTGGGACAAGCTTGAGCCCAAAGATTGTGCCAAGGTTAGGTTTGTAAGACTGCTCCAAGCCTATCCTGACAATATTGCCACAATATTGGTGGGACATTATTTTACTTCCGAGACAAACTTGGATATTCAATATTGTGACAACGTTATGTTAATAATATTGCTGCAAGCTTGTTCAGCGGATGTTGTGATCATGATGTTGCAATAGACTTGATGTTAAAATATTGCCATAGTATTGGCAGGATATTTATTTTACCTCTGAGACAAGCTTGGATTTCCAATCTTTCCTCTGAGGCAAGGTAGGCGATAGAACGCCGTATTACCTGCGGTCCTCGCGGAAGAAATTTCATAGCGTCGCAATGCCTAATGTAGGCATACGGAACATTGGAGTGCCGAGGAACCTTCCTAGGAAAGTTACTTTCTTGGCTGCTTGCACTGGCTGAAGTATTCAACTTGGAACCCATCTGTAACGGGCACTGCCCAGGCGAAACGAGAACCAGCCCCATTGACGGGGCGGCCGCGCGCGGACCGTTGCCAAAAAGCTCCATTTGAGCCTTTGGCCTAAGAATTTCGGTAAGATGGGTTAGACGCCTATGGATCATGTGCCTATTACGTCAAAAAGCGAAAGGTCGCAGTTTTTGCCCTTTAATTTGCCCTTAAAGGGACAGCAACGGCAGATCCGCGGCGAGCGCGCCCTGGTGGCGGAAATAGCAAACGCGGTCGAATTGTGCTCGCCGCGCACAATATTGTGTTAATCTGTTGACAATATTAGAAACAGAAGCCTAAAATGTTTATTTTCTTAATCTTGTGACAATGTTAAAGTGCGAATATTACCACAATGTTGTAAAAATAATGTTAGCATAATATCAATTCAGCAGTTTTAGATATCCAATATTGTGTCAATATTATGACAATATTACGAACAGAAGCCTGTTATGTTTGTTGTTCTAACGTTAATTGAATGTTAACATAATAACAATACCGCAGTATCACAGAGGTAACATCGTCTCGATATTATTTTAGCAATTTTGTTTTCCTAATATTGTGTCAATATTGTGTCAATATTATAAGCAGAAGCCTATGTTCAGTATTTTTTTTAATAATGTGCCAATGTTAAAACTAACATATTACTGCAATATTGAAAACATAACTTTACGACAGTATTAGTTTACCAATATTGTATAACCAATATTGTGACAACATTGTGACAATCTTGGAATCACCGAGCACCACCTGACCTTGGATTTCTAATGTTGCTAATATTGGTGCAATATTAAAATACTAAGGTTATATATCCAGTATTGATGGTATATTGTACCAAGATTCTCAGGCCAACCTTACTGTTGAAATATGCTCACAATCTCGCTGAGGTTGCCACAATATTATTCCGATCTGCCCAAGGTCAAATTTCCGATTGGGATGGGAAAATACGGGAAATCTCCGAAAATGTTTGAACACGGTCCTTTTTTTACACCCTTCTCCCCATTGGAGAATTCTCAGGTGTCTGAAATTTGATGATTTTCGTGTTTAAGATGAAACTACTTTGGGAACTAAGCACGATAATATCCTCGGTTTCTAAATTAAACAATTATTGGGGGGAGTGACAAAATGACCTAATCTGCTAAACTACATGTGTTTGAACGAGATATCGATGGTGAAACTACCAAACCATGTATCTCGGTTTGCGACGTTGCAGACTTCCTGTCATACTTTATTTTTTAAATGAAAAACTACTTAGCGTCTAGTCTTGAAAATTTCTGTGAATTTTCCTCTTTGTGCGGAGAAAATTCTGTGAAAATTTCAAGGAATGATATTGATTTGGTCCACTTCAAAAAAATAAAATGCGAGCGTAGATTTTTAAACACCGCAAACGAGATACGTGGTTTGTAGTTTCACCGTCAATATGCCGCCAGATGACGTCTCAAGCCGGCACATTTTCTCACTCTTGAATCAATTTGTTTATAGTTTCCCATCTCAGAAAAAATTTATGATACTGCGAACTCAGCTCATCGCGCACTCTTAGATGAAGCAATACAATTTATTCGCGCAAAATCTCTCTTGCAAAATGATATTTTACAAGGCAATGATAGATTTAAAACGCTTCCCCCTTCTTCCCGCAATAGCTTTCTCTTATATCCTACAAAAACATATTGCTTCGTAATGTGAGAGTGTCGATCAATCGTGAAATATTTTTTACTGATAAATTTGTGATATTTTTCACTGAGTACCAACGGTAAATAGTTTAATGCAGGAAGAAAAATCATCGGACAACAATCAAACCTGGCTAGCATAATACGAGCTTGATCAAACTGCTGCGAGCAACTATTACTGCTTCCAAGATGCCCACATTGCCTATACAAATAATTGAAGGCGGTTCAGTATAATGAGTGCGGAACTCTGCGAGTATCAGAGCTTGATCAAACTGCTGCGAGCAACTATTACTGCTTTCAAGAGGCCCACATTGCCTATACAAATAATTGAAGGCGGTTCAGTATAATGCGGAGCTCTGCGAGTATCAGAGCAATATAAATCCACAAATCTTAAAACGGATGTGCGCGGATAAATTGCTGCGAATAACTGTAAAGTAACTCCAAAAGTCGCTCATAATATACCCTCTGTGAGTCCCCACAAAATTTGACAAAATGTTCAATAATTGAAGTATAAAGAGAATATCTGTAATTTCTCTTTTTTTGGGAACTGGCTCAGACTGATAAGCTGAAATTTGAACCGGAATGAGGCGTGAGTCATGGAAGATAAGTAGTTGTTGCTGGTAAAATGGTCGCACCGGACTTCAGACCCCACCTACTTTTTTAGACGTGGTTCCTTATTTGTGCCTTCGTGGTAACAAATAGTACGGTCCCGGTAGCAATATTTCGGTCCCAATGACCCAATGACAGGGTTTCAGACGCGATGGATATTTTTAGTTTCCAACTGCTGGGACAAGTCCTGAACAAACTTTATTGAATATTTTCACCAAGAATAACACTTTTCCTTTGCGTGCCCGCGGGCTCATTAAATAGGAAAAAAACAGGTCACAAATAGAGAAAAATGAGTTAGATAGAGAATTAATATTGACATTTTATCCCGTCAAAAAGAGTATATTTTGAATGAGCGAGCTCGTCAGAAAGGAACCAACCCACATTTTCGAACAAAAATTGAGTTAAGAATGTTTTTGAGTTCCACTAGCCGTACATTTTCTCCTGCCGAAAATTGAAAGTCGATAAACAGAAATTAGTGTGTCAAAAGAGGATAGTTTATTTTCTACATCGAGCCTTATGCAGGAGTAAAACTTCGAACCCCTTTCTCTCAGTTTCAACTTGATGTGGGTATTGTTTCCTATCTGATGAACTCGGTCCATTTGCAACATCAGATCTCGAGGAGAAACATAAATTCAAACTAGTTTTCACGGTTATATTTTGATGTCACTCGGTTGTTTTCTATTATAATCAGTCAAAATTTCTTTTTCAGAAATACAAAATTCTTCGGGTCGAGTTTGCGTCTATTGAGCCATAAGGGAGCGTTCATAAAATAAGTAGGTAACGCAGTTTTTTGGCATTTTGATCCCAACCCTCCCTCTTGTATCGCCTGTAAGACCTGTAGGTTCCTATCTTTCAACACGTTAACAAAATGGCATAACGCCCTTCTTCATACTGGATGTATAGATAATCTAGTTTTTCATCTCAGAGCATAGAGAAAAAAAAGGAGGTGTTTGCATCTTGAGGTTTGTTTACCCTGTGACGTAGGTCGGTACAACCTGGCCAGCGAAATCCGGAATTCGAAATATGAAAAACGGACCATAATGTCCGATTTTTTTACTTAAATCAACTCATTATATAATTTCAAGCACTTTTTATAGTACGACTTTTTTCCTTAAATTACACCATTTCCAAAAAAATCGACAGGATAAACGTCGCTGTACCGACCTACGTCATCAAATCATCAACAAATTCCAAGATGCCCGATATGCAAACACCTCCTTTTTTTTCTCTATGATCTCAGAGAAAGATATGAAGTTGACTGCTAAACCGATCCAAGTTCTGAGCTGGCAACTCAGCGAGATCTCGCGGATGTGTCGAGGTGCGAGGCTGTGATTGGTGGGATGGGGAGGTGCTCGTTGTTATGGCAACAAGCGCGCTAACGACAATATGAAGCTTAAGAATGGACCTGTAAATCACAGCTCGTGTTAACTCTCAAAACAGGCCGCCGGTCAGGAGACTAACAATGCAAGGTGCTGCGCGCACATTGCTCAGTGCACTCAGCGTGTTGGCCGTCGCTGCAAACTTAAGTACACTACCTAAGTAAGGAGAGGATTGCTATGTATCTGCCACTCTATCACTGGTTCATCAGTTGTAGGCCTTTCATTGTTTTAATGGCTTTTACAGCTGCCCTAAAACGTATCTTTTGGAAATTCGATTAATCGGAAAATTGAAAGATATGGTGGAAAAATACTAAAGTCTATCTCGGCCTCAGTATAGTGAGAAGTAAGTCATTCCCTTCAGACAAAGAAAAATAGGATTAATTTTCAATGGAATTTCACGGGGTCAAATGAGTTTTAAAGGTGTTTCGTAATTGACATTGCACGTAAAAACTATGGAGCCAATAACTAGGAGGTACCTAGAGCCTCTGGCCGCTACGCGGCCTAACGCCCAGAGAGCGCTTCACACCCTCAAACAGGGTCTGATTTAGGGGGTGGCCATTTGGGCCGTGGCCCATGGTGGCAAATTTAGGGCGCGGCAAATGTTGTAATTTTTTTCAAATGCAGGTATCAAGAGAGAAATCTGAGCCAGAAAAAAATTTACAAACGAGAAAAGGCGACAAAATCTCTCATTTCCTGAGAGATAAATTATAGTAATTTCTACTTTGTTCGTCTTTCGGTGATACAAGAGACAGCGCCTTTCATTAGTCTATTTGAGAGAGAAACCAAACACGCAATTTGGTCTGGAGCGGCGCGGCGCAGAGAGCAATAATGACGCGGACTTGAGACGGAAAGGAGAAGCCCTCGGCGCGCCGGTCAGCATGGAACACATATTAGCGCCTACAAGACTCCATGAATACTTCACGCATTGCGTCAAACACAGTGCGTTCAGCAGCGGTCGGCGTGAAAAGCACAGTGCCTACAAGACTGTAGGAATACTTCACGCATTGCACCAAATACAGTGCGGTCAGCAAGGCGCGGCGGTGGAACTAAAAAGTATTAAACCACATTTATGTTTGTTCTTTCATAATTTTTTCGTTCATTTCTTATAAATGGAAGGCCTAGTCCGCACAGAGATAGGTTTACGGAACTTAATTTTCGCGCAACGTTCCTTGAACTTTTGCTAGCGTTGACAGGGCTTTCACAAAAAATATGCCCAACACGAGTAAACGCGTCTTATGCACCCCTCCTCCTCCAGCACGTTCCCTTGATTGTTTGTATCGATGTTTCAAAACGAATGAGAAGGGGCGGCAAAATACAGGAGGCCCATGGGCGGCAAATCCGGTCCTGCCCTCAAAGGCCCGTATAACGGGCTCCTGTTAGTTAATTGATAGAGCATGAGCATGCAGAGTGGTCTTGGGGATCTCCCACCGATAGCCGCAATAATCATGAAAACTGACGTGGTAGATCTTTAGATTGAACTGTGACACAAAAATAAAAATTTACATTTCGCTTAAATGGGAGATCCCACAAAACCGGGTCATATTGTCAACATCTAAATAAAGCGGGCTCATTTAGAGACTCTAACTCTCGATAGCCGCAAAAAGCATGAACATTTGTCCAGTAGAACGGCAGAACGAGCCGTGACAGAAAATGAAATTTTAGGGGGG